TATTTCTATGTCTTTTAAGGGAACAAAGTTGGTTGTGTCGGGTCTAAAACGCCATTTTTGAGAAAACGAAGGGGTAACCCGGTTACCCCTTATGACAACTCACGTATTTTTACATTTTAATAATTAAAAATAATAAGAGGGGCCCACAACTATCTATCTCTCTCTCATATACTTTAATTTGGATCTGAAAGTCTCTCCAACATGCCTGTGCAGTAAGTTGCTTTTGTCACTTGACATGAAGTGTTATACACAAATGGATGAAGCTTGTTCAAATCCTTGTCTGCATCTTCCATGGACTAACCACGCCCACCACCATTTTCATGTGATATTGTATTGAATTACATAAGATGACATATCCCTCTAAATCCTCACAACCTTAGTCCTGAAATATCACCATTAGCACCACCTCTCCACCACCACTGAATCACCGTGAACCACCAACAATAATCATCAAATCACACCATAAACCCACCATACAATCTCCCACTATTACAGTTAAGAACCACCACCAGGTCCTCTTTCCCTTTCCTGTTTCAACAATCGATCACCAACCTCCACCCTTCCCCTTGGACCGTGACTAGCAGCTACCAAGGACCACCCACAGCCACCACCGAGTTGTTGCTAAGGAATTCCAGACAACCAAGCATCGCCTCCGTTCCTTCCCTATTTTCTATTGACCGAAGCAAGAAGACCCCGCAGTGGGGGTTGCCACCCACTGCCGACGCAAAACACCACTCCAACCACCCTCGTCCATCTGATTTGTCAAACAAACACCAATCAAACACCCCGCTGCTGCTACAGTGAGATCAAAATCTTTATATGCACTGTAGGCATCACAAGGTGCCATGGAGGTTGTTGAAAAGGGATTCACCGGAGGTGAAGAAAAGGGTTTCCGTGTGCCCTGAACCTACTTGTTTACACCATGACCCTTTCCACGCGCTTGGAGATCTCGTCGGGATGAAAAATCACTTTCGGAGGAAACAAAACAACAATAAGCAGTGGGTTTGTGAGAAATTCTCAAAGGGTTACGCTGTACAACCTGATTACAAACTTTTGGAGAAAATGCACATGAATCGAACTGAAAATTAAGTTATGTCAAAGTAACCAATGATCATAGCTCAAGAGAGAGAGAGAGAGAGAGAGGGCCCAAGTTTGATTTATCTATTATCCAAACCGGCTAAAACAAATAAATAGTCTAAAAGAACAGGTTACCCACAACTTGGTTCCCTCATAAAGCCATAAAATAATTTTAGTTACTAAAAGGGTAAACCCTAAAAAGTTTGTAGGTTATATGTGTCATTTTCCCAAAAAATTACAAAGAGTTTTAGAGCATTGGGTTTTACAACCACAAAGTCTAACTTATACTACTTCTACTTATACTACTTCTATTTGAAAACCAATCAAATGAATGCAAATCAATGTTATCAAAAATGGAACTTCTCTACACCCATATGTTTTGGAACACAACACCATTCCAATACATTCAAATCACCCGACAACATTTGAAAACAAAGGGAATGGTAAGTTAAACCACTTGAAAACTCTCCTCCAAACCTCATTAGCCACTTCTCAAAGAAACGTCAAACACAAATATGTTCATTGGTTTTTGCTTGATAGGTTTGATGCCATGGTTTTGGATGCTTGGAGTTTGGAATGAAGAAACGTCAAACATAAATATGTTCATTGTGTTTAAAAATAAATTGATATATGTGAAAAATATTTTAAAAGAATGGCACAAAAACATGGCTTCTCAAAACGTTGGAAAAAGGAGATATCCGATTAAGAAGTTTGATGATATTGATAATATTCTTAATGGGGAGAACCATGAAGACGAATTGGTCTTCGCTAGAATTGATATTTTGAAGGCTTTGTCAAATTTGGACAAATTAGAAGGCATGGATGATGCTCAAAAGATAAAATTAAAGTGGGTGTGGATGATGATGAAAATTCTAAGTTTTTTTCACTCCATGATTAAAAGAAAAAAATGGCGATTATTGTTTTAATGGTGGATGGGGTTTGGGTGACGGATCCAAGCTAGGTTAAGGATTGTTTCTTCTCGTTGTTTAAAGAAAATTTTAGTGCTTTTTCAGGTTCTAATGTTTCTCAGCCTAGTTCTCGGTTATCTAAGCTTGCCACGGTCGAGAGAGAGTTTCTCGTTTCTCGGTTTTCTCTCGAGCCCATGGTACTAACGGCTTCTCTTTCCGGTTTATAAAAAAGTTTTGGGACATCATAAATGTTGGTATTGTTAACTTTAAAGATGAGTTTTTCAATAATGGTGTTATTCCCAAATGTTGTAACTCTTCATCTATACCTCTGATACCTAAGGTTGATAATCCTTCTTCTATCAAGGATTATAAGCCTATTAGTCTAATTGTGGTGCAATATAAGATGATTGCAAAACTTCTAGCTAACAGGTTGGCGTCTTGCATTGATTCTCTTATTAGTCCAGTGCAATCGAATTTTGTTAAAAGGAGATAGATTATGGATGGTCCTCTTATGGTGAACGGAATTATTGAGTGATGTAAGAAAAAGAAAAAGAAAAAAAAAACCATGATTTTCAAAGTGGACTTTGATAAGGCTTATAATTCCATTTGTTGGGAATATTTGTTACAAAGCATAAAATTTATGGTTTTTGATTCTCAATGGATAAAGTGGACTCAAGTTTGCTTGGAGTCTTCGCATGCTCCGGTTCTTGTAAATGACAGTCCTACAAATGAGTTCTCTGCAAAGAGGTCTTCGGCAAAGAGATCCTTTATCCCCATTTCTTTTTTATTTTGGTGATAGAAGGATTGCATGTGGCTAGGGATGATGTTGCCAGCTAAGGGTTATTCAGAGATTTGAACGTAGGATATTTGGATTATAACATTTCTCACATTTTCTATACAGATGATGCTTTTTTTTGGGTGAATGTGATAAAGGTAACATTGACAACTTTATATTTGATTTTTGGTTTGTGATTTAACTTATACAAATCAAATTTATATGGGATTGGTATTGAGTTTCATCATGTTGAAGAAATGGTTGTTAGTACTAGTTGATTGGCTGCTTCTACCCATTTTTTCGTACTTATGCCTTCTAGTTGGCCTTAATATGTGGCGTGTAAAGAGTTGGAACACGATGTTGCAAAAGTTTAAGAAACTTTTGGCTAATTGGAAAGTTAACTTACCCTCTTCGGGGGTAGTTTAACTTTAATTAGGCCTGTTCTTGGTAGCTTGTGCATTTTTATTTTTCGATTTTCAACGTGCATAAAGTCATGATTAATGTTTTGGAGAGTTTAAGGGTTCGTTTCTTTTGGTATGCGACTAATAAGGAGAGAAAGATAGCTTGGACAAGTAGGATCAAGTTCTTAATTCTAAGGAGAAAGGTGGGCATGGAATTGAAGTCTGGTGGATTTAAATATTGCTTTGTTGCTTAAATGGAGATGAAAATTTCACATTGAGCCAAACTCTATTTGGGATAATGTCATTCGAAGCATACATGGGTATTATGGGGGGCTCGACTACTTTGATCAAAAATCAAAAGGGTCGAGTTTGTGGATTTCGTTGGTCAAACTTTTTCATATAATTCACGGAAAAAAATTATTCTGCTTTTTTATTTGAGAAAACGTATTGGCAATGGTGAAGGGACTCGGTCCTGGGATGAAAATTAGTTGGGGGATGGTTTACTTATGGATAGATTTCCTCATGTGTATGTGATGGAATCTAATAAGAATTTTTTGTCTAGAGAAAGATGGTGAGATGATCAATAGATTTGGGATTGGAATAGGCCTTTACGCGATGGGGGTGTCATTGCTGCCTAGTTCTCAGTTCTAATGGGCAATTTAGCGCATGTTCATTTTACGGCTCGGTTAGACAGGTGGGAGTGGGATTTAGGTCCGGATGGCGTTTTGTGGTTAATGCCACGAGACGTCATATTGATGGTATTTTGTTTGCAGGGAGGTGATGATGTTACTCGTTGGTGTCGCTTAGTTCCTATCAAGTTAAATGTGCTCTTATGGCGTGTTTTGTTGGATAGAATTCCTACTCGGGTGAACTTGGTGGACCAGAATGTCGATATTTCTTCATTGCTCTGCCCTTCGTGTGATTAACATACAACAACTAAAATACCAAATGATCTCATAAATTTCAAATTTCATGTGATTTATTTTTTATTCATTGTATTTCATGACTTTATTTATTTCTTTGTATAGTGTATAAGTCTATATAAAGTGTATGATTTATATAAAAATGGAGAATTTTGTCTATATTCTTATAAACTTTCATAATTACGCATATGTCTTTGTAAAACTTCAAATTACATGTATACCCTTATAAAACTTATAAATTAACATATATACCCAAATACTTAATTTAATCATAATTAATTTATTTAAAAGAGAAATCTACTAGAAGGTCCTTATGTTTAGGGCTCATAATCGATTTAGTAGATTTACCATATAAAAATTAAAAAACATTATCTTAAAACATAATATTATTATTAAAAACTAATTAACTTGTAACATTGCAATATTACCATTCTCCTAAAAATCCTAAACATATCGATAGAAATTTGGATGTAGCCGATCGATAACAAAGTCAGGGTAAATATATCCTTCATGAACCCGCTCAATAATATCAACCAATTGAACAAAGTTTGGTGGCAAATTCAAAAATCCGACACGTAACTGTCATCGATCCAAAAATATTAATCAACCAAAATCCATTGTTGAAATTGATTGCTACTTCCGAGATACTGATCGATAACAAAATTATGGTCGTTTAAATTCAAATGTTTGGAGCTTCAATCCCAATTGCATAACCAACAATTATAGATTTATTTCACAACAAACTTGTTTAGAGGAGAATAATCACCAGTCTCCTAAGTCAATTATAGCAGATAAATTATATTCTTTAGAAATCGATTAGGAATAATCAATATCACCAAGTTTTCTAATCAATTATGTAGATTATAAAAGTGCAATGAATTAGGCCGTAAATTTACATATCGTGGATAAGAATATCGATTGCGGGAAGAACTGTAAATAAGTATTTTAGTAATTTAGTTATAATCTAATTTAATGATAATAGTTTTAATGTTTAAATAAATAAATTATTATACATATTTAAACACGTTGCAGTTTATGAACATGAACAAGTATTTAGCCAACTCCAATACCAGGTGTTTGGAGCTGGATGGATTTGTAGCGACCACCTTTAAACTCCAATACATGACTTCCACCTACTTCCCACTGCGAGAACCTGAAATTTGGAGAGATTTGACTTTTACTCAAATACTGACCAAAAGGGAAAAATGGCATTTAGGCGAATTTGGCAAGTTTATGAAGTTGTGATTTCATGAAAATGACCAATATAAGTTTAAGCCACTTAAATGAGATTAGATGAGTGATTTCAAGAGAAGAAATGCATGAAATGATGCATTTTGGACAAAAGGGTAAAATGGGAAATTTTATGTTTTTGGGCCAACTTTGTAACTTAATAGATTTAGACCTATATTAAATTATTAAGAAATAACTTAACAAAGTTGTGGAGAGTATCCCCACCTTCATGTGGATATAAAGATCATAGAAAACGAGTTTAAGATGAAGATGATATGCGCGTTAGAAGATTGGAAGAAAACATCCAAAAGTTAGAATGAAATCAACTAAAGAACTATTATCAAGCAGTTATGACAGTGCATAAAATGGTTTGCCACAACGTAGTGGCGTAAGTACGTTTCCATTGACCACAATGGCTTTAGGACATCACGACGCGATACACAATCATAACTTGAGTTTTAACATGTTAAGAGCTTATTTCGATCACTTCTCATAAGGGATCGATTGGAGAGCTGAAGAAGGAGATTTTGCAGCCAAAATGGTGCCAAGACAAGCTAGAGATTGTGGATTTCTAGGATTTACATCCTCTCCACATTAAGGTAAGATTTCTCCATTTTTTTTGAAATTCTTAGTTTGATTGAATTGCTTGAATTTATCAACATATAGTTTGTCTATGACGTTATTGAGCATTTTTAAAAGCTTTGAATAAGCTTTGTATGTGATTTCCATGGTGAAATCCATATATTTGAAGTTAGGGTTTGAAACTCAAACTAAT